TTATGTATGTATGTATGTAATTCATGTATATGTAGCTCATATATTTGTATACTTATAAAATTATGGTACTTTGGTACTTTATACATTGTTTTCTCTTCGTTTTTTTGTTTTTTGTGTTCTCTAAAAGGATTTTTTTTTGTTTTTTTTAAAAAGCTCATAAGAAAGTCCTTAACTGAAAATCTTCCTGTTATCCTTCTAGATATATTCTAAATGAAGAAGTGCCAAGAGAACTTATTTTGTAAAATAAATAAATTTATGTTTTGTGGGTGTGTATGTGTATGATTTTGTATTTTCTTTTTTTTTTTTTTTGTATAAAATGAAAAAGTTCGTGAAATATTTTTCTTTTTTTTTTTATAACTTTAAAATGAGAAAATATTGCTACTATCCATTTTCTATTGGTGTCTTTTTGTTTACTGTTTATTACTGTTAGATGTAGAAAATATAGAAGAGGGACTCTTTTTGAAATAGATAGAGAGATAGAGAGAGAGAGAGAGAGAGATGCAAGGGACATTTTCATTTTGTTATTTTCTTTTATTACTGTCATGTCAGTTTTCTGATTTTTTTCTGATTTTTTTTTTTTTTGTTTTTTATTGTTACTTCTTTTGGTTAGATATTTATTTTTATAATTCTTTTGAATTGGTTTTAATAGAAATTTACTCTAAAAATTCTTTTATTTTATATAAAAGAATATTTAATGGATACAGAGTGTACCAATTTATTATTTTAAAATGGTCTCAATCTTGTTAAATTATGAATATTCTAAGGGTCACTTTACGAGAATTTATTAAATTTCAATTCAGTTATGTTAGTGAAAAATAATAAATTTTTTGTCACCAAAAATTATTGTTTAATTTTTTGACAACTGGTAATTATTTTAGCATATACTTTTGGCATTATCAAAAAATTACTCGGTTATTCTTTAATCAAGTTATTTCAAAACTAGTCTCGAGGCTTATTATTTATTAAAACATCATTTTTGTCTCGTTAAGAGAACTTATATATTATAATAATTATATTTGGAGTAATTGTAAATGACAAATATTGTAGCTGTCAAAAATATGATTAATTTTCATTAATTTCGTTTCAAATTAAATATATCTGTCAAAACTTCCACACAATTTTTTTGATTATGTAATTTTTTTTAGGTTTGAAACTTTGAATTCTTTAAAATTTCTATATCATTAATTTTAACGAACGTATAAATACATTATACATAAATATTATTCAAAGTAGAAGCTTTTTAGCTTACCTAAGTTTTTGTGTATTTTATTACTTATACAAATTAAAATTATTCATAATTATTTTTATTTTCTCTTAAAATATTTCCTTAAATCGAATTTAGCAAATTTTGACTTCAATGTTAGAAACAGATTTACAAAGTATAAAAAATCATAAATTCAAAATGAATGGAACATTTTCAAAAAAAATTTTAATATTATTTAAACTTTCATATTATATGAATAGAACAGATACACTCTGTATATAAAAGAAAAAATCAAAAATTGTCATATAAAAAAACTGTACTCACAATTTACAATCTTTAAAATGGAAAAGAACCACAAATAACAAAAAAAAAACAATAGAGAAATTAAAGAGACAAACAATTGAAAGCATCGTTGTTTACTTATATATTGGGGACTTTACTTTGCTAGTATATAAAAAAAAATTAAACTAAGTATACACTATAAAAATTTTATGATTTAAAGATTTTTTTTTTATTTAAAAATAAGCGTGAAAAAAAAAAATTGAAACTTAAAATATTGTGATTTCATTTTAATGGTTAAACTAAACAAATTTGTTATATTTTTTATTGTAAATAAAATTAAAGGATTTAACCACATAAAAAGGAAGAGCAAAATATTTTGCACACTGTGTATTTTTACTGATAAATTTTATTTGCAAAATTAATTAAAATTTAATTAGAAAATTTTTAGGTTTTATGGTGTTAAGAATGAAAAGTTGTGTTCGTTTATTTTAAAGAAAAAAATTTGTTATTACACAAATACCTAAAGTTAAGTTTTGTATAATAGTTCTTTAATTTTTTATTAAAAATTTGAATTTTCGATATACGAGTATAAGTTTCATTTTCATTTATCGTGTATGTTCTGTCGAAATTTGTTCACATATACACCCTAAACAGGCCTCTTTTAAAAATGTCACATAATGATTATGTGACATCTGTCATCATTTTAAAACCTCTACCCTGCAAATTAGATTTTAAAACCGTTACCCTGTAAATTATATTCGCAGCCCTTTTATAAATGTCAAATATATCAAAATTGAACCTATAATTGTTTTTATGCAACCATTTATGCAGTTTTAAAAAAATAATTGCGAAAATGAGTGAAGTTGAAGAGGATAGAAAATTTAAGTGAATATAGCGAGTTTGATGCAAATGAAACTGTGTAAGTGTTAATTCTTTCTTTATAGAAATATAAAAAAGTTAATTTACGTGATGTTTTTTGGACCGCACAACGAGCACCTCTGTTTCAAAGACAAATTTCATTAAAGGAAGAGAAGTCAAAAATCTTTGTGGATGAAAATCTTAGATGAAATAAAGAAAATAAATGAAAAATTTACATTTGTGAGGGATGAAATGATTAAAAAGTTCATAAATTTATTTATAACGTATATCAATAATTTTCTTTCGTTACGATGTCAAATCACATTCGAATTTTCAAATATCAAATGATTTTTTGCAAGTATGTGATTAAATTCAAAAGTCAAATGAATATAGTCATGTAATGTCAGTGTCAAATTTGCAAATGATGGTCATTTGCAGAAATAATATGACATTTTTAAAAAGGACCACCCTATATTATGAAAAGCAGCATGAAATGTTTTACAAATATATTTCTGGCAAAAAAATTAATTTAAATTTCGAACATTAAGGGCTGTTTGGAGTAAAAAAGGTCTCAATTGAGTCATTTTTTTCTTCAAGCAACCAATTTCATATTACTTTAAATTTCATTTTGGATATTACATTGTTCGAAAAAGATCTTGTATGATAATTGAATACATACGATTTTTGTCATCTCTTTACATTGCAAGCATCTGTAATAATATAATGTCGAGAAAGTACATCATAAAAAAGAAGTTGTAAATTTTGGATCACTAATCATTGTTAATAAAAAAAAAAGGAGTAAACTACTAACAATAGTTAAAATACTTTTTTAAATAATTTTTATAATTTTCTGTCATATTTCTGTCATATAGATATATTCAAAAAATTCTACTATTCTTTTGAGATTATAAAAAAAAAATTAAAGTAATAAATTAAATGGAAAGAGTTTTCATATTATCAAAAAGGGTTTTTTTCATATTAACACACAATGTTGTTAAATTTAACATTAATAAATTGTTATATTAAACGTTAATATACTTTTTAGCACTTTTCCAAAAAATTTTTCAAAAAAGAAGTGCTTATTAGTTTCACTCTGTCCGTCCGTCCGTCCGTCTGTCCGTGTGTCTGTTTACAAAACTTCTACACCTTTGAAGATAGAAAGCTGAAATTTTGTGTGTACATAGATGTTTACTAGAAACTTATTTCCGTAGAACAAAATTTTTAGCTATTTCCCCCCCCCCCCCCCCCCCCCCCTCTAGAAGTTATATCCCCCCAAAACCCTAAAAATGGCCTTTTTTAACTATTTGCTGCAATGAAACCATAAGCATTTTTGAAATTTTGCAAACGCAGAAACGCAGCGACTTGCTTCCCCTAGCGCGGTATGTTATAGTTAAACTTTAGAAAAACAAAATGGCCGTTCAAATTTACCGTTATCTAAAGTCTTTTTTTTCCAAATTTTTGATTTCGTTTTTCTTCTAGATCCCAGCCTGTAGAAGCTTAAAATTTTAGGCTTTTAGACATTAACAAAGAGTTCATTTCGTTAGAAGAAAATTTTTTTTTCCCACCCCCTCTCAAGTTATCGCCTCTTGAAATTTGTAAAATTTGAATTTTTGACACCTTATATTTCCGAAACCGCAAGCTTTTTCAAATTTATATAAACACAAAAAGCTAACGGTAAATTCCATGACATTAAAAAATATAATTATTTTTCTTAACTCACACAATTGACTCTTAAAATCGAGCATTATGTTAATCCCTCTTTATATTAATTTTGCTTTATTTCAAAGACTGCATGTATGCATCATCCTAAATATATGCAATCCCAGAAATAGTTTTGTATATGAATGAAAATAATTTTAATAGTGTGATAGTTATACATAGACTGTATTTAAAAGCAGAATTTTCACTTGTTGAAGGGAAAAGTGTTACAATACAAACCATTGGTTTGACCCAACTTTATTTTTTTATACTTTTTATAAAATATTATTGAACTTGAAATGTAATAGTAAAGTTAACTACCCCGTGCACTTTACGTCGCTTTTGTTCTGTTCTGAAGCCTTTTGGCTATAACATCGTAAAAAATAGTTTATTGCCAGACACAAAGATCCCAAATCGCCTTAAAACACTTTTAAAAAAAATTTTATAACCTTTTTTTTATAAGTTCTTTGCTTTATAGAAATTCATAAAATTTTACCCCTAAGCACAGTTCGTATATTATTATAAAAAATTATCATAAAAAAAAAATTAATTTTTGAAAAAAAAATGTTTAATTTATCTTCCATAGTTTTTAATATCGCGATTTTTATTTCAATAATAATTTATATATAATAATATTCAAATATTTTATTGTACGTGGATTGGGGTGTTGTAATCTCAATAGATAACATACTTTAAAATATTTTATTGAAAAAAAAACCTACTTTTATAGCTGAATGAAAAGCTACACGTGCTCTACACCTAAATCAGAATAACAATATTTTTTCTTAATTTTAGTGAGAGGAAGAATTGATAAAGAAACAAACACGGCACGTTTCGGAAAAACAAAATCAAAGTAACTAATAATTTAATAACAAACCTGAAATTAATTTTAATGAATTAAAATTAATAAATTAATAAAATTTCTATTAATTCCAATAAAAAAAATAAATATACTTACAGTACATGGTGCTTGCATCCATGGTTCACCATCAATTTGCATAGGAAATGTTTTTTTCGTTTTAAATATCACTTCACTGCATTGTGCTAATCTACGACCAGATGCACGTAATCCAGTACGTACTTGTCCCATATGTAAACAATTTTCTAAACCAATGACTTCAATTAAACGATCTCCAATATCTATATATATATATATATATATAATGAATTTTGTTTTAAATTAAAAAATGAAAAAGAAAAAAATATTTTTTTGTTAATTAAAGAAAAGTTGAAATTTCAAAATAAGAAGAAAAAAAATTGAAAATTATTGAATTTTTAATTGAATGATGGTACGTATACACATACAAGTAAAAAAATGAAAATTCTTCAATAGAATTCAATTGTGTTTCCACTCAAAAATTCATATACAATACTTTAATAAAAATAGAAGTACACGCGTACGAAAAAAATATAAAAATTTTTTTTATATGAAAAAAAATTTGGTAGAAGTTTTTTGCTTTTTTTTTTAATTTTCATATACATACTGCTATGTACTTACTTATATAAATTTTAAAACACGCGGATAATACATAGGAAGGAAAGATTGGTGATTGAAAATAGGGTAAAACAACACTGTTCGATACAGCAATATTGAAATTTATCACTATGCAAGAAGATGGCATTAAATCGCGAAAAAATTTTGTTATTAATTACTTGGCCTACAATAGATTTGAATATAAAAACACAAAAGAGTTTTTGTTTGTAAAAAATTCCTACAATAAAAATTCAAGATTGCATAACTTTAGGGTACAATCGGCAAAATTATTGAAAATATTTTGATTTTCTCCTATAAATTGTAATTATTTTTCTTTTTATAGGTAAAAGTGTAAAACTAATTACGTCTTCTCTATGGCGTCTGGAATAGTGAATAATAGTCCCATGAGATGCATAAGAAAAACCAGACAAAATTTTACTATTTAGTTGGCAATTTTAAATATTCATATACTTCGTGTTAAATTTGTCAAAAACTTTAATATTATTAAGGTGTAAGAAAAATTTAATAAATTTTTTAAGAAAACCTAAAATTATATAAATAAATTTGAAATAATAGTAAAAATATTTATTTGTGCCAAAAATTTTGATATTGCAGCCCGTTTATATAGCATTTTCTAAAATATGAAGATAGTATTTTTAAAACTGTTATACGCAATACGCAAAAAGTAATAAAATAATGTAAATTTGATAACAGTACCTTTGGAAGCTGTGAACATCATCTTCACACAAAAGTTTTGCCAACTCATGAGGGAATATACAATGGTATACAACAGTGCACTTAGAAACGAGACACCCAATACAAAGGCGTAAATATATTTTATTTAAAATAGTAAATCCAAAATAAAAAATTTAAAATTATTTTATGCATTCAACTATTTTATTCATTTTCATAAATTTGCAAAATTCCTAAAATTTATGTATTACATACATATACATAAATTTTAGGAATTACATTGAAAATGTATATTGTTCTATTTATTTTATGTGGGTACAATGTAGATTGAAAAATAATAAAAAATATATGAAATTTAATTATATTTTTTCTTGGCTTATGAGTTTCTTTCGGAAATGGTACAGAATTTTTTCTTGAGTTTTGATTTTCATATGTAATTGCTATTTATAATGACAAAAGAATTAATAATTTACTCTTAAAAATTTCAAAATTTTCAAAAATAAATTATAAGAGTAATAAGAGTAATAGTAGAATTTTAAATTTATAAAAAAGTTTTGTTTTTAGAATGCCCTTTACATACAGCCTAACATGTAAACAAAATTTCACTAAAAACTCTCAATATTTTAAATGAAATATTGTAAATATTTTTGTAGATATTTACGGTCCTAGAAAGTGAAATTTTGAAAATTTTAGAACAAAAGCAAAGAATAAATAAAAAAAATACTGAATAAATATAAGAAAATTTTACGTATAGAATTTTGTTGCTTAAGGCCTGCCTCAAAAATTAAATATTGTTGATTTAATAAGGGAAAAAACCAATTTTCTTTTAACAATAAAGTGCAAGCTTTCAACTTTAACAATACAAAATGCATCTTAAAGCATGTATATATATATACATACATTATATGAAAATATATGTATGTATTAAAATTCTATTATAGAACGCAGTAAACATGTTAAAATTTTTGAAATAGAACAAAGCTTTATTTCCAAAAAAAAAACCCCTGTGGTTTAAAAAACAATTCATATAACCGTATATATATAACCGTATATGCAATGTAATCATTATAATGTTCTATATATATAGATCTATATATATATTTAATGTTTAATAATAAAAATGGATTTAAAATGGAAATCATTATTAATGTGAGCTTTGTAGAATACAAATGCAATTTTATTACTAAGTTATTATATGAAATAGAATTTTTCTCGTTTTTTATGTTCTTACTCCCACAAATTACATATTATATTGTATTATATTGTGTTGGCCCTCATGCATTTTATATATATATATATATACCATCTTTTCATATTACATAGATAAGGATAAATATACTAAAATTTTTATTATTATTATGTACACTTACCCTGAATAGCTACAGATAAATCAACTGAATTAAAGCTTGTTGCTGATAGCTCTTTATCAGATGATTTTAATTTTTTTCCTTTTAAAAATGGTCCACCACTTTTACGTATACGTTTTTGTGATAAATGTTCACCCCATAAATTTGATCCACCATGTGTATATGGAATATTAAGTAATGCAATTCCTTGAAGTTGTGGTCCATTTGCTAAATCCAAGGATACACCATCACACTACACAAAATATGATATACAAATATATAAATGAATATTTATTGAATATTAATATAAATAAAAACAAAAATATATCTACATAATAAGTATTTATTAGAATTGAAAATAAAGAACAAAAAAATAAAATAAAAAATTAAAATAATGTTTATAAGGAGAACGTAGTCTCAGCCCTCTCTAATTCTTGTTTATTGTATATTGAAATATTTAAAAAAAAGAGGACAATAAAATACGCAATTTTGTGGTGTTGTAAAATGTAGTTGTTAGATTTTTTGTTGTTTTCAAATTCAATATCACATATGTATGCCAAATAGAAAAAAAAAGAACAAGAATGAAAATTGTGTATAAAAACAAAGTGTGTACCGCATAGATTTCTCAATTGCAAATTATCTATATAAGATTTTTCCAATTATTTTTAATTGAGGACTATTAAAAATTGGAAATGTGCGGTAATAAAAGTTTAATTTAAAAAAATCATGATTCCAATATGGTCCAATAAAAATTGAAAATTGGATTATATAGCTTGCTTTATATATATATATATATATATACATATATAATATAAACAAAATGTGTAGGCTTTTTGTTGCACATTTAGTTCAATAATAATAAAAATCCAATGTGCATACAAATGCAATTAAAGAATATTTGATTATACAATAAAAAGGACAATTAAATTAAATTACAAAACAAAATTGTATAAAATTTGGAATGTGATATTTGTCATTATTTTATTATTAGGACTTCCGACGTGATTCATAGCAATTGTTAATATAATAAATCGAATCGAAATTTGGTTTTTTATTTCATTAGGGACTGAAGCCTCAAGAATGATTCTAAATTAAGAAAGCATTCAGTGATCATTAATTTTTTCATCTCTAAAGACTCTCCAAAATATCTTATTTATATACATAGATTCGTCCGGTATCAATTGCATATTTGGAAAAAGACACTGAAAACTTAATTAAATAATATTCTGACCGAAATGCCCCAAAAAAGTAGCTCAATAATGAAGAATTGTAATATTTCAGAAATGAAATATAGATTTTGTATAAAGTAAATTAATATCTACATTTGTTAAAATTTTCAATGAAAATACGAATTATAAAATTTATAAAAGAACATTGTAAAAAATTCCGAATTTAATCTTGAATCTATTTTGTAAATGAATTGATCTTGTTAAATTGTAATTGAAGGATTATGTTCAATTCTGTATAGTCTATTAAAAAATATTTTATCATTTCCAAATAGTTTTTATTATGTACACATATATTACGTTAATTATATACTAAGATTTTCATTCTTAAATCGACATGAACACCCTTTATTATTTAAGCAATATCATGTGCTCCATATTAATATTTAAATTATAAATACTTATATAATAAATAAAAAAATTTTATTAAATATTTCATTAAGAAACAATAAAATATAATTAAAAATATGATAAAAACTTTAAACTTTTGTAATTAATATTCATTTGCTCTCAGTTTTTTCATAATATTTGCTCTATATAAATAAGCTCCTTAAACATTATAATATTATTACAACATATAAGTGCTACATCTAGATCCTAAATCCTAAAACTTGATTCTATATAATTTTGTTGAAAATAATTAGGTATGTATATGCAATTTATATATTCATTTAATATTAAAATTTATTTGAAATAAAATTTTCTATCAACACAAATAACTTTTATTTTACTTATATGTGAAAATGAAAAGTTTAATCTTACAATTTCTTTGTAAACAAAAAAAAAAAAAAAAATATGAAAATCGCGTAATTTACTCTAAAAAGAGAAATTAAAAACTAAAAACTTCTTTTATTAAAATTTTCTTGTATTTTATTTATTTTTATTCTTTTTTATATTTTTAATTGTTTTAATAATTTTTCATATATGCAAAACTTTTTATATTTTGTAATACAAATAAACTTTGTATACTTAAAAACTTATCATTAAAAATTAATTTATTTCAACTTCTTATATACAATTATAGTAAATTAGTTTGGAAAATTTGTGAATTTCTCCATATGTGGAGCACAAAATTTTGTAATTTTCTGCATAAGAATAAAATTTTTTAAGAAAACTTTCATAATATATGAAATTTTAACATTTTATTTGAATATGTAAAATGTGCTAGTATATGTGTAATATGCACAAAATGTTAACATTTTTTTGACTTTCAAATAATATTTTACTGTAAATTATGTAAAATACTTTGTAATTTTACATGCTGCATACCCCACATAAGTTAAATGCATACTCGTATAAATACTAAGTACATTAATCATATTTCAATTTTTTACATTTTAAATTTTACATTTATATTTCTAATGTGTTGTACCACATAGAATTTATGAGTAAATTGTACAGGGTGTTTAGAAATTACAAGAAATTATCTTATAAGTAAGCACAATAGAAGAACGGGGAAAAAATAATTGCGCTTGAATTGAATTATATAATTGTGCATTTTAACAATTTTGTATAAAACATAATAAAAATAAATCGTTTTGAAAAAAATATTCTCAAATCAATTATGAAAAAATTAAAAAAATTATTAACACAGAATGAAATTTTTGAGAATTTAATAAATTTTTTTACAAAAATCATACATTTCCCTCAAATGTTTTCTATCAAAAACTAACCAAAATCATGAATTTTAGGATATTTCCCACAGAAAAAGCGGCAATGTATGCGAAATACCTTTTCCATATATTTTTTTTTTATTTTCATATATTTCGCTATCATAGAACTTAAATTTTTCTGACTAAATCAAAAAATAATATTGTAATTCAAATAAAAGAGACCCTGTATAACAATTTTTTAACACAATATTTGTAAAATAAGCGTATGTATATGAAGTTAATACTCTTAAAACGAACACAATTTATAAGTACTGAATTTCCTTTTTTTGTTTTAAAGTCATAAGTTAATGGTAAAGAACTTATGGAATAGTTTAAAAGAAAACTAATAAATTTTATGCTGGAAGAAATTAAGAAATTTATTCTTTGACATTATTTTGAAATACTTATATTTGTAGAAATAGAAAATCCTTTGATAATTTGAGAAATTTGTACATAGATATTTGGAAAATTTAAAATCTACTTTAATATTTTCAATTAAATATTTATTATTTTTAAGTTTATATGTGTATGTAGCTTCAAATTTATTTTAGTTTTTGCAGTACTTGAAGTTTTAGCAAGTAATGGAATGATTGGTATACAAAATCGAATTTAAAAAGGAAAAATAATTTTTTTAATTGTGTACAATATTTGGATAATCTTCAATTTGTGAAATAAAAATTATGTAAGTAATTTAAATTTGTTAGAATTTCAAAGTTAATAATATTTTACTCAAAAATTTTCATATTCCAAAATTCATTTATGTGATTTCAATAAACTTTATCAATAATTTGAAAATTATAATTTTATTTGAGATTAAATTCGAAGGATTATTTTTACTTTGATTCTTTTAATAAGTAAATTTCATTTAATCAATTGTTCTCATATAACCAAATTCGATTCGATTCGATAGAAGATAACAAAATAGAAACATTTTAATTATTTTCATTTTAAGGTAGAATAAGTTTGTATTTAGAATAGTAACAATTTTTTATTTAAACTGCATAGCATATTTAATTTAAAAAAAAAAAAAGGAAAATTAGTACAAAGGATATTTACATGCAAGTATGTAAACTAAGAGTCATGAGACTATGCAAATTTTCATCTAATTTCTATTTCTTTATTATTAAATAAAAAAAATAGTTTATAATTTTCTATTCATTACTTATGATTTGAGTTTTTTACATTATCATATAATTTTTCTTTTCAACTATAACTAGATACATTATATTGATGAACATTATGATTTAAATACATAAAATAATATTAATGTAGAAAAGAAAATCTGAAATTCATAATTTACTTACCATTATTTCAATATTTTCATGTAGATTTTTACATGATGCAGCAAAAGTTTCTGATGTTGCATATTCAAAATACCACAATTTATTTTTCATTCGACTATTAAATTTATGTGGATTTTTTTCACGCTCCAAATGAAATTTAACACAAATGGCTGCATCCTATATTAAAAGAAATTAAAAAGAAATTGTAGAATTAAAAATTTAAAAAGAGAAAAAAAAATTTTTATGATGTCGTTTATAAATAAAAAGTTTTTAAATGTTATGTGAACTAAAAAAAAAATTTGCTTTATAAAAAATAAATAGAAAATAATTAATTTTTTATTTTGTAATTGGAAAACAAATGAAAAATTTCAATATAAGCCTTTTTTTGTATATAAATGGAAATGGAAATGCATTGTAACAACTCAAAAGACCAATTTTACATTAATTGTAATAAATGATTAAAGGATTTCCTTATTTTTTAATAAGGGAAATAAAGTTTGTAAAAATTCTTTGAGTAATACTTGTAGTATATTACTAAACAGACAATATTTTTTTTATCCTACTTCTCTCCATAGAGGGGAGCATAGGGCTGGTGCATATGATATTGTAGATAATAGTGAACCAGTAGTCTCGTTTTACTAAACGAGACTACTGTAGTTAAACTGATAATATTAGTATTTCATATTAACATTTACGCACAGGCGTTTAAAAATCTTTTGAGATGTAGATTCTAATTTAAATTCTTTTTATTATTATAGATAAAATAAGAATTATTATAAGAAAATTTGATTTGAACTATACAATTTAATTGAAAAAAGTAAAAGTAATTGTTAAGTTTGGAAAAATATCAAAGCAAATTGTCTTATTATTGAAATTGTAATGTGAAAAATTCTTATAGTCCATGAAAGTATTATAATTAATAATTCATAATTCCATAATATCGTAATAATTTCTGATTCACAGTATATAAATTCAATTGAATTTAGTTTAAATGTATTAAAATACAAACATATTGAAAACCTTATTTTTAATAAAACATTTCTCTACTTCAAAATAGAATGTGTAACAATAAATATACTTAAATTTATAAATTAGAGCTTAAAAATTTACATATAGATTACATTTATTTATCATTATTTTTTGACAAATTTTAATTTATTACAATTTTTTTCCTAATCAATTTATTTTAAGATCTTAAAATTATAATAATTGTAATAATACTTACAACACCAATTGAAAAATAATTATTTATAATATTGTATGGTATACAAAAGTCTTTTTCTGATTGAATTTTAATAGGCCGTTGAATTGGTGCTTCACTTGTTGTTGGTGATGTTGGTTTATCATCTGAACATAAACTATTACTATCTTCAATATTATTACAATTTTTATTTAATGATAAATTATTTGTAATATTTTTATAATTTCCACAATTATTATTATATGATTTTGTTGTTGTATTTTCAATAATATCTTTATTGTGATGTTGGTTCTCATCTTGCTGCTGTTGTTGTTGTTCTTGTAGTTTCTCTTGATTTTCTTCTTCTGGTTCTTCTTCTTCTTGATCATGTAATCGATTGATATTATTCGAATTTTTCGTTAATTTTAAATTATTTATTTTATTATTATCATCTAAAATAGTACAATTTAAATTTTTTTCACAATTAATTAATATATTATTATAATTATCATTATCAATATTTTCTTCTATACATTTATTTGAATTTATATTATAATTATCAATTGATGGTAATCTACTATTATTACTATTATTATCATTTCCATCAATATAATCTTCATCATTATTACTATCATTTATATTATCAATAATTCTTTGTGTTAATGTTTTTATTGTACTATTTTCAGATAATTTTAACATCATATTATTATCATCACTATTATCAATATCTTTTATTAAAGAAGTATCATTGTTAATATCGTCGAGATTCGTTTTAATTAAATTTGTATCATCAATTTTTAAATTTTCTAATGTATTATTCTTATTATGAGATTCAATTATTTGATTTTTATTATTATTATTATTATTATTATTACTACTACTACATGTACTACTACTACATATACTATTATTTCCTTCATTATGAAATTTTTCAATAGTCGTATTTAAATTTAAATTTTTTGATATAATTGTCATTGTTGATGGATATTCTTTATAATCTGATGATGATTCAGTGGTCGATGTTGATATGCTCTTTGTATTCTCAATAACTGAATATTCTGATTGAGTTTTTGTACCATTACGAGTTTCTTCATATGTTTGTATCACAGATTTTTCCACAACAATACGTTGTGACAATTCAACAACTTTTTGTACATTTGCCTGCAAAGTAACCTAAAAATAAAAAAAAAAAATCAAAATTAGAAAAGAAAAAATTAATATAAAAAATTTTTTAAGTAAATAGTAAATTTTATTATACAAGGATTCATAAAACCAAATCATTAGTGCATTAAAATCAAATGGCATAATGTAAATTTCTGGAAATCGTATTGTATAATTAAGGGTATTTTGAAATTTCCATAAACATACATTTACACTGAAAACGAATTGTTATTTTTTATTTTTTTGATTTTAAATTGGAAATTCAATTAATTTAAAACTTTTCTCCCTAAAATTTATTAATTAAAATAAATAAGTTGATTATTTTGTAAATCTGTTGCAAAATTCAAATTAAAAATATATGCGTATTTTATACATTTTTTAATAAATATTTTTTTTATAAACATTATTAAAGCAATACAGAAATTTATTTATTTTTGGAAAATTTAAATACATATATATCATTGAAAATAGCTTTAATTTTAGAACATATAGACACGTTGGGTGAATAGGAAAATATTTTTGTGTATAAATGCCAACCACATAACCTAAATAATAACTTATACGTGTCTTGTTATGAGGATATTTTTATATTATATAGAATATTATTGTTATTAATATTTATTAATGCAATCTAAAAATAAGTGGCTGAAAACGAAAACAAAATCAAGGCTTTGATAATCACAGATTTTAAGTTTGGTGACACTATTTACAACAAAATGACATCTTCAGTAAAAATCTTAATAGTACAATACAATCCGAATTATTTCAAATTAATTTTAATTAATTATTTCTTTATAAATGGTAATTGTTTAATTTTGGGTACACAAAGAGTATAACACATTATATTTGACAAATTACAATTATTAATACTATTAATTTATGTCACAAACTCAATTTATATTAATAACATTTGTATTTATTTTTTTGCCTTTATTTATTTGATTTTATATTTTTCCACAACAATATTACTTATATATAAATATTAAGTATTAAGTATATATACAATAAAGACGTTTATATTCATATATGTAAGTATATATTATATTATATTTATTTACCTTAGGTTTTGGAATTTCTTGCATTGGTGGGTTATTAATAACTTCAATACTCCATCTATCAAGCATAACAGTTGTTGCTCGACTTATTTTATCCATTAATTTTGGTATACTTTCACCTTCATAACCGCCACCCCATCTTAAACATCTGGCTAAATCATTACCAGTACCTAATGGTATAACACCAATAGCTGGCTGACAGGCCAAATCTATTGAATCTAAAAAGAAAAACAAAAAAATAAGGAAATAAGAAAATAAATATTATAAAATTTTTATATATTGAAAAAATGTACGAGCATATACGGAAAAATTGATACTCAGGAAGAAAATATTATTTATAGATTTTTATTCATTACCAATTTTTCTACTTTAAGAGTTTTTTTTTTTGTAGAAAATTTTGTTTAATTGAAATGTAGTCAAAGAGAATTACTTATTTTACTTGTGATTATTTTTGGGGGTGGGACAATATAGAAATATATTAAAGAATTATTGAATTTTTAGAAATATTCTATTATAAACTTTGAGGCACAGAAATTATTGTCATATAAGTTGATTTGAGGGAGCCTTCAGTTCAATTTAATTTTATTTTTATTACAAAATCTAGCTTTAAGGATTTTTTTAAATTATGCGTTATTCTCTGAAATAATCACATAATATGTTACATTGACTTAAAAATAAATCTACTCATAAAATCAATTTTATAAAATAAATTTTATTAAATTAGGGTTAAGTAAATTAAATGCAATATTTAACGGGCATAATAAGGTATATACATATTATATTGTATATGTATTTTGCTAAGTAATAAACATTATCCTTGCAAATGTATTAAAAAATCTAGTAGAAATGGTGACTCTCGGCAGTTTTGCACTATAACATAAAAGACAAATTGAAATTTTTTGAAAAATAGCTCTACAGGAATGGCATAAAGCTAAAAATATTCGTACATGTACAATAAATTTTAAATATTTCAATAATAATTTAAAAAATTTTAAATTTCCAAATATGCACATTGATTTTTAAATGAAATGGTCAAATCGCATTCGGTTTTCGATTAAAAAGTTTATTTAATTTAAAATAGAATGTTCCGATACTTGGCGTAAGAATGATTACAATAATTATTTTGTATAATTCAACACCGAATGCTGTATTCTAACAAAAAATTTGACTGGAATATTAGGTCTCAAGAAAATCTATTGATCATTATCGTTAATATGTTAGGATCAGAACTTCAAAATTTGGCCGCCAGTATAAAAAATGTATTTATAAATTCATCGCAAGATGACTTAAAGAGAAATCCTAATTTTCATTTAAATCGTCCGTCTCAACTGAAAGTGTGTTATATAGGAGGACTCACACGTGCACAGACATAATTCTCATAAAATTTGTTTATTAATATATTTCTTCAATTAATACATTTCTCTTCGGTTGAAAACTTGTTAAATTTGATGCGATCACAATACCTCACCTAATTGTATGGAACGCAGTCAGTAAAAAAATAACCTAAAAGAATAAAGTGACAAAATCATTTTTCCCCCATTACAAAAAACAAAATACCTGTACGAATGTATACCTGTACTATGTCGGTACATAGTACCGACAAGTACGAATATTGTGTTTGTAAATTTTATGTTAGAGTGGACACATAGAAAAAGTAAACACAGAAAAAAAAAAATAAAATGCAAATTCGTGTTAAAATTAACAAACTGGAGTGGATTGTTAAAATCATAAAAAAAAAAGAAGAGAGCTCTGAAATTCCAACAAGTGTATAACCTAATAAATCATATTATGTGTTTCTTTTTTTTACATTTTATACCAAAAAATATTGAAAACACAAATATCCTTTCGTTTATTTTTCTTTTGTTCTTTTTTTTTTATTTTCGCCTGGCTGAATATATTGATCATTCGAATTATTCTCGATTGGTGGTCCAAACATAATTTATTAAAATAAACCGCACGTTTTTTTTGTTTGTTGGTTTTTTTTTTTGTTAGATTGGTCGTGACGACGATGATGGTGCGATGATGCAGATATAGAATTCATTTATTAAATTATATTTCAACCGATAAATTGTTATTGCAAGGTTTGCAAAAAAAAAATATGCCATTGGATTTTTGTCTTGGATTGTCTACTATGCATCATTTTTGTATATTTTCTTGTAATTTGAATGAAAACTGAATGAAGCGGAAAAATTTTAAATTGGGGAAAACAAAACATATTGGAAAATTTAAAATTATTTTTATATGGTGACAATATTTTGGATATTCAGTGAAAAAATTAAAATATTATTTAATACATTTACGTTTTAATTATGTAAGTTATATAAGGATTGAATAACAATTGAATAACAATTTGAAACTTTTGTGATATACCCATATTAAATTAATTTCTATAGGACGCTCTTAAAAATGATTTTCATATATATCGTGAAGTTAATGCTGCAACTAGATAACTCGCAATTATTTGTTTAGAGATATTGACTTTTAAAGATACAAAATTTAGCAATAACAAATAATTTCTAATAAAGAAATCTAGTTTTGTCATTATTATTTTTAGATATTTAAAAATACTTTTAAGCTTAGATATTGGTCGCAGATTAAAGAGCATTCGATTTTATGACGCCTAGGTTAATTATCTAATAAAGTTGGGTCAAACCAATGGTTTGTATTGTAGCACTTTTCCCTTAAACAAGTGAAAATACTGCTTTTAAAAACAGTCTATGTATACCCACCACACTATTAAAATTATTTTCATTTATAAACGAAACTATTTCTAGGATTGCATATATTTAGGATGAACCATTTATGCAGTCTTTGAAATAAAGCAAAATTTAATATAAACAGGGGTTAACATAATGCTCGATTTTAAGGGTTAATTGTGTGAGTTAAGAAAAATAATTATATTTTTTAATTTCATGGAATTTACTGTTAACTTTTTGCGTTTATAGAAATTTGAAAAAACATGCGGTTTCAGAAATATAAGGTGTCAAAAATGCATATTTCACAAATTTCAAGAGGCCATAACTTGAGAGGGGGTGAAGATGGAAAAAAATTTTCTTCTAACGAAATGAACTACTTGTTAATGTCTAAAAGCTCCTAAAATTTTAAGCTTCTACAGGCTGGGGTCTAGAAGAAAAACGACATGAAAAATTTGGAAAAAAAGGACTTTAGATAACGGTAAATTTGAACGGCCATTTTGTTTTTCTAAAGTTTAACTATAGTATACCGCGGTAGGGGAAGCAAGTCACTGCCCTTCTGCGTTTGCAAAATTTCAAAAATGCTTATGGTTTCATTGCAACAAATAGTTAAAATAGGCCATTTTTAGTGCTTTGGGGGGGTATAACTTCTAGAGGGGGGGAGATAGGTAAAAATTTTGTTCTACGAAAATAAGTTTCTAGTAAAGATCTATGTACGTATTAAATTTCAGCTTTCTATCTTTAAGAATGTAGAAGTTTTGTAAACAGACACACGGACAGACGGACGGACGGACGGACGGACGGACGGACGGACGGACGGACGGACGGACGGACGGACAGACGGACGGACGGACGGACGGACGGACGGACGGACGGACGGACGGACGGACGGACGGACGGACGGACGGACGGACGGACGGACGGACGGACGGACGGACGGACGGACGGACGGACGGACGGACGGACGGACGGACGGACGGACGGACGGACGGACAGAGTGAAACTAATAAGCACTTTTTTTCAAAAAATTTTTGGAAAAGTGTTAAAAATAGAAATTTTTCAAGTTATCTAGTTGTAGCACTAACCTCACGAATATTAATAAAATCTTAATGCGCATATAAAAGGTGATTTTGAAAAGAAGAAAATTTGAAAAATATTTAATTAAATGAAATAAGATTTTATTTTTGAGATCCAAAGAATTCAAATGAGTATGAATGTTTTCTATGATAATTAATTACATTTTACTTTAGATTTAATTACAATTTACAAGATATTGAATTTCAAGGTTTTTGTAATTTATAAAGTGAATAGTTCTTTATACGCGTAATGAATGAAATGCAATATTCTAACTAGCTTATAAATAGGTTATTAGAGTCATGTATTACTGGACATCAATATTATGTGCAGCACATTAGGCCTACTTTAGATTATGCGTGCCTAGGGTTGCCACTTATTAAAAAAAAAAATTTTTAAAATATCTCAATGAAAAAAATAATTCAAATTGGGAATAAATAATCACAGGATGGCATTTGTATAAGGTAGTCCAAATTTTAGACTATTAAATTGCTTTTGCAATTAAAGTCTGAAATTTGTATATGTTCTCAAATTTTTGTTTAACAAATACAATACAGAATGAAATTCAAGAGTTATGCAAATAATTTACAAATACGAGTACTTTGAAATTTTTAATATGAGAAATTTTTATAGAAAAAAATTCCCTTTTAAGATTAAAATGCACAAATTTAAATCAAACAAGAATAATTTATGCAAATGAATTAGAATCAATCATCTGATTTCTGGAATTTTAAGATAAAATTGCAAAATTAAAAATTTTTTTTTTTTTGTTTGGATAAAATTATTATAAAAAAAAAATTCTATATTTTAAATTTTTCTACTTACCCATTGCTTCTAAAACCCAACCAACAGTACCATCACCACCACAGCATATCACTTTAAAACATGGTAGATCTTTAAAAAGTGTCAGTCCTAAAAATCGGCAAAAAAAAAAGAAATAGAAAATGAAAAATATTTGCGATAAAAATTTTTAATTTAACACCTGGTTAAATTTATTTTATACGTTTATGAAAAAAAAAACGCCACTTTAAAACGTGCAAATCAACATTTACGGTAAATTTTTTACAAAAAAAAAAAAATAAGAGGAAAATTCTTTTATTTCTTTCTGTTGTTTTTTTTTTTTTTCTCCTCCTCTTGGCATACAATTTGATTTTCAATAAAAGGAAGAAAATGACTAGTCTTTTTAATTTTTTTTATGGTTGCTTTGAATTCAAACTTTTTATTTTTTAAATGCTATGAAAAAAAAATTTTTTTTTTTTTATGGAATCTATATGAAGAAACTATGAAAAACAAATGGTAAAAAGCACACAATCGTCCTTATTTTTAGCACTTTTCCAAAAAATTTTTTGAAAAAAGTGCTTATTAGTTTCACTCTGTCCGTCCGTCCGTCCGTCCGTCCGTCCGTCCGTCCGTCCGTCCGTGTGTCTGTTTACAAAACTTCTACGCCTTTGAAGATAGAAAGCTGAAATTTAATACGTACATAGATCTTCACTAGAAACTTATTTCCGTAGAACAAAATTTTTACCTATCTCCCCCCTTCTAGAAGTTATACCCCCCCAAAACCCTAAAAATGGCCTTTTTTAAATATTTGTTGCAATGAAACCATAACCATTTTTGAAATTTTGCAAACGCAGAAAGGCAGTGGCTTGCTTTCCCTTGCGTGGTATACTATAGTTCAACTTAAGAAAAACAAAATGGCCGCTCAAATTTACCGTTATTTAAAGTAGTTTTTTTCCAAATTTTTGATGTCGTTTTTCTTCTAGACCCCAGACTGTAGAAGCTTGAAATTTTAGGAGCTTTTAGATATTAATAAATAGTTCATTTTGTTAGAAGAAAATTTTTTTCCATCTCCACCCCCTTTCAAGTTATCACCTCTTGAAATTCGTAAAATTTGAATTTTTGACACCTTATATTTCCGAAACCGCAAGCTTTTCCAAATTTTTATAAACGCAAAAAGCTAACGGTAAATTCAATGAAATTAAAAAATATAATTATTTTTCTTAACTCACAAAATTAACCCTTAAAATCGAGCATTATGTTAACCCCTTTTTATATTAATTTTTGCTTTATTTCAAAGACTGCATATATGCGTCATCCTAAGTATATGCAATCCTAGAAATAGTTTTGTATATGAATGAAAATAATTTTAATAGTGTGATAGGTATACATAGACTGTATTTAAAAGCAGAATTTTCACTTGTTGAAGGGAAAAGTGCTAAAATACAAACCATTGGTTTGACCCAACTTTATTTATTCACATTTCACCTGTTTTTTTTTTTTTTTTTTTCGTTTTATTTTCAACTATTAGCAAAGAGTATAGAAAGGAAATAAAAAATGATTTTTTATTGAAATTGTAGTTTTTATTGTTCATCGCAAGGGGCTGATTTAATTTTTATTTTTTTGTTCTTTTCTTTTTCATATTTTGCTTCCTTTTGTTCTATTACTTTTTTGAGTTCCTCTTTTCGAACTTAATAAAAACAATAGGGTTTTCCTTTTATATTTTTCTGGTTTTTTTGTATGTTTTTTCTTTTCTTTTATTTTTTTTTAACTAGCTTTAATATTCTTTATTGTTAATTTATTATAGAAAGAAATTTTCTATGATTGGTTCAAAATGGATAATATATATGGTGTACAACTAGCTACCTATATACGGTGGGTTACTAGAAAGCACGTGATTTTTATTACTAGTTATAGGGATCGTATTCTGTTGCCGTAATTTGTTATCATGCCGAATTTCAGTATTCGAAAATCTCAACTAAAAAATATTTCTATTATTTAGAGTTATTTCGTGGATTTCATATAGTAAAAGTATTTTTAGTATGCCGTACCTTCTTATCATAGTGCATTGCAATATCCTTAATGTTGTCGATTAATCAATTTTCGTGAAAGTTTTCATTTCAATTTTCCTTGTGAATGTTAAGGATATTAAAAAATGTTTGAACAATTTTGTTATATTTCTGTTCTGTTTCTTTAAATTTTAGAAAACATTAATAATTTTTTCAGAATATTAGGTCTTGAACACTAATCGTTTATTAAAGGAGTCTAATCATTTATTAAAGGAGTTAATTTTGTGATTCTGGTATAAGTTTAGATTTATTAAACAAACGTTTCTCTGGAATATACCGTTATTAAGGTACTAATTTTTTGTTCTTCGAGCGTCAGTTGTATTGCATGATTTATAGTAGTTCGTAAATTTAAAATTTCAATAATTTGCCAACATTTCTGGAAAGAATTACTTAATTTAATAGATTTTCCTAAGATTTAAAGATCTAAATTCAGTTTCAAGTCAAGAATAATTGTAATTAAATATTTTTATGAGTACTAATTAGTAATTACTTTATTGCTTTAATTTATTATTTTTATCAAAATGATAAAAGTAAAATTTTATTCAATTATATTACCTACAATTTTTCGTTATCCTTTAAAGAAAATAAATTTTACTATAATTCCACGGTAATAAACACTTTATTGTGATTTTAAATGTTGGTTAACAGACAAATACTATAAGAAATTCTTTAAAAACTAAATTTTATAATAAAGTAAAAATATCATGGACTTGCAACATAGCACATTTTGTTTTAAGAATTCAAATCGAAATTTAACATTAGTATGAGACTTGAAAAAACCAAAGAGAAAGTTTGATTAAAACTATTATACTATAAATGCCTATTATTGCATAATTTTAGAAGTAATTACTAGTTACAACTTGGTTTCGACATAGTATATTGTAAAGAAATGCATTTGTAGAAAATTCGGAGTCATAACTTGTAAGAAAAAGCTGGGCAGGTTGAAATTTTGTTCTAAAAATATAGTTTGTAGCTAACAGCTATATAGGTTTGTAAAATTTCAGATCTTAATCTTAAAAGATTTAGAATTTTTGTAAACATATGCAAGGATGAACCGACGAACGTTTTTAATTTATTTTTTCTTTAATGTACTATAAACCATCCGAATTCTTATTCTCTTACTATTATAAATCCACACCAAGAACATAAAATTTTTATGCCGGTATAAAATTTTATGAAATTTTGACAAAAAAAAAAAAAACCTTTTTTACTTGATAATTTTCATCACAAACTTTCGTAAACAATCTAATAAACTTTTTACTCAAGAATTTTTGGTTATTAAGGATGAAAATGGTAAACCTACACTGACGTTGATGGACATAGTATAGGTATATATACATATATTTGACAGAAGATTATATATTGACATATTTTTATAAACAAAAAAAAACAAGAAAAAAAATGAAAATTATAATAAAAAACTAAAAATAAAGTTAAAAATTTTTTTTTTATTTCAAGAAATTTTATTCAATTTTTACCTTCAATCGGTCCACCTTTTGTTAAATCATAAACTTGACGTGGATTCAACATATATTGAAATTTTCTTAATATACGTTCACCTTGACGACCACCACTCTTTGGATTTACAAATACTAAAAGAGGACATGTGCCTGGAACAGGAGTTATTTGAAAGTGTTGAACTTTAACTGCTGCAGCTATGCTCTGTTGTTTAAATAATAAAAGAGAAAATAAAAAAAAAAATTAATAAAAAATTTTTTTTTATTTTTCAAATAATTGGACGAAGTCAAAACAAAAGAATATTAAATAAGAGAGAGGGAGTGAGAGAGAGAGGGATTGAGAGAGTAGAAAAAGTGAGAAAAGTTTTTAATTTATTTATTTTTGTCTCATTTTTTCTCTTTTATTTTTCTGTTTTGTTTTGATTCTTAAAGTTAAAGCTCAGGTATTTTCATCTTAATCAAAGTTATATAAACAAAAAAAAGCAACAAGAAAAAAACAAAATCAACAAAATAGGTAAACAAATTGAATATGTGTAAAAAAAGAGAGAAAAAAATTGGCAAAAAAAATAAAAAATTTGCTTTAATTTTTTTCTCTCCTTTTTGGATTTTGAATAGAATTTAAATCGAATTTTAGGAATGAGAATGACTTTCACCCAATACAAGAAGAAGTATAAGTTATATGGGGTTGAAAAGTGTTTGTGTTGTTTAAATTAAAAAGGAATAATAAAGAGGAGAAGCACACCACACGTTTTTAAGAAATTCCTTTGAAGTCAACTTTTTTTTCTTATTCTGATTTTTGACTTTTCAATTTTTATTTCATTTTTTATAGCCAAGTATATATAAATTTGTTAATTTGAAAATGTACGTTTATGAAAATTAAGAGTTCAAGGTAAAACAACAACTAAGTACATAAAATAAAAATCAGTCATACGGCAGGATTTTTTATAATTAAAAAAGTTTCCAATGAAAATTTTATTATTTTTATTTTTAAATTTTTTTTTTATGGACAAATTTTTATAAGATTCTTATTATATAATAAAAATTCTTTTTTCTAATATGGAAAAGATGTGTGTGACAATCAAACATAAAAAATATTTTCGTTTCAACTCAGAATATTAAAAATTTTTAATAAATGAGTGCAATTTTTATAGGTTTTTTTTTGTTGTAGTTTAATTGAAATTCTGTTGATTATGGCAATACTTTTTTTTTTAATTAATTAATTTAATAATAACATAGTTTTGAGATAATATTAATGAAATTCAAATTGAGAATATCAAAAATTAAATTTTTTAGTTTGATTAGTAAAAAGATTCAATTTGCAGAAATGAGTGAGAAATGAAATGTGGTTCGAAATCAAAAGTTCCAAGAAAATTACAATTAAATAGTTTTCGTCAAATTATTTTTATTGAAATTAATTTTAATTGAACTAGTCTATAATTAATTATTTTATCTTAATAAATTGATTGTAATTTGTTTTAAAATTTTTAGTAATTTTACTTCTCATATTCTATGGAATGAGTGAAATTTCATTATTACTCATATCTGTATGCAATTTCGAAAATCTTTGCATAATTTAAATTAATTTATTTTATTATAATTAATCAAATTTTTTAATAAATATTTTATTTGAAAACAAAAGTACTTACCCTCGATTTAATTGATTGATTAACTGATTTTTGTCTTTCAAGAACAGCTGGCGATATAGCTGATGGTGGTATAACTAAACTGGCAAAATCACCTAATGTACATTCTTTTTTTACAGATGCTGCACAACGATTATGAAGCTATATTCAAAAAAAAAAAAAAATACAAATTAATATTAAAAATTATTTTTATTATATTTGAAATTTAAAAAAAATTTTTTGAAAACAAATTTAATTTTTTAGTACAGTTTTTATTAATTTCAATTTGTTCACCCATGCGGCCCTCATCATAAAACTTTTATACTTTTCAATTTAATAAGGTCTGAAATTTTATACACAAATATATTTGGAATTTTGCGAACCAGGGCTGTAACAGAAAATTCTTACATATTCATCTTCTAAAAATTATAGGCCTAAATACAAAGTATAAAAATGAATTTTTTTTGAGTATTTATTGGGTCGAAAGTGGAAGGAGCTTACAATGAATTTTCTCAAATATTGGTTACCTTAAATTTGATCATAAATAATTTCAATCTTTTCTAACATATTTCCTAAACATGAATTTTAATGTAATATTTTTACTGGAAATATTGAAATTTCAAATAAAATTAAAAATAGTTTTTAAGGGACAAAATTCGGTTTCATGTATCGCTGGCAAAACCAATATTTTTAATATTACACTTTTTGTTTTTTTGTTGTCAATCAATTTTCTGTTGTTCCTGTGTCTATATCCAAGCTATTTTTTTTTTCTTATTATTATTTATTTATAAAAAATATTTTATATGAAATTTTCTATTTTTAGAACTTTAATTTCAATTTACTTAGAAAATTCTTTTTTATTTTGTAAACCATCATACAATATGTGTAGGAAGTAATGATTTTATATGTTATACATGTAATTATATACGTTAACATGTGTACTTTATGTTACTTAGGTACACGCACATATACATATGAAATTTTTTTTATATACAAGCTGTTTCCGTTACTAATGCATTGTTGCAAAAATTTTTGCTGACAGTGAGTATATTGGACCAATGTTCACAGCACAAAAATTTCTTGAAATATTGAGTTTTGAATTGGCACCATGTTAAAATTATCAATTTATAAGAGTTTGTTGAACGAAGCTATGCACTTAGAATAGAAACACCTTGGATGTGGAGAAATTTAATATTTTTCGTAATATAAAAAATACATTATATTAAATGAATTCCTTTAAAAAAATATATTTAATTTCCGTTGAAACTTGTTATAAGAAGCACAAAAAAAAATAAAAGGAAATATTCTCTTTATACAATAAAGTTTTATTGCTAACCATTTAAAATTCTCTTTTTTTAGCTTTTAAGGATTACTTTCTCATCTTGTAATCAAATTACATACACATACATTTCCGTTATCTTTGTTTTTTTGTTTTTGTTGCTTTAAATGTTAATATAAAAATTTTTGTTTTCTAAAACAAAAATAATTAAATTTATTTTTGAAATAAGAGAAATTTTTCATATATGTATTTTGAGAAAGAATGCAATTTTGAAAAAGTTTACAAACATACTAAGAATTCGGGAAAAAAATTTCTATATTTTTTTATTTTTTGTATATGTGAGCAAAAATATTTGTACACTTGATGAAGAATTTTTGATATTTGAACCGAAAATTATCATATTATTAAAAAATTATGAATGAAGCATAAGAATTAACAATTAAAAGAAATGAACCGTGGGAAATGTTGTGGTAATAAACTTTTTTCTGTGTAATTTAAAAATTTTAATGTTAACCTGGAAGATTTCCACTAATTCGTTTCCCATCAAAATGCTGTTTTTAAGAATATTTTAAAAAAATTTCATTCTTTTTTTCTTATAGCTTGCAAAATATTTTAATATTAGTATTAGATTTCCAATTAAAATCAACAGGCACAGTTTAAGAATTTTTTTATAGAACGAAACGATAAAAATTATAATTTTTATTTTCAAGTTTTCATGGGACTAAAATTAATGTACTATGAACTAAAAGCACGAATATATAAATACTAGATAAGTAAAAAATATAAGTAGTATAAAGATTCTATAAAAAATCTTGTCTAAAATTCAAACTTTAAACTCATCTAATATTCTTAATGGTTGTTTTAAAGAAAAAAAAAAAGTTTTGTTTTTTTTTTTCTATTTAAATATTGAATAGAGATATGCCAATAACGATATACCAGCAGATTATTGATAGGAAGAAAAAAACTTTAAAAAAAAAAGGAAGGAAAATTTTTCAATATGATTTTTATTGCTATCTATAAGAATTTCGAAAAAAATCCCAGGATATTTTAATCGAAAACTTATAAAAAAGAGTAAACCCACTCAATATTTTTACTCACATATATAGCATAATATGCATAGTGTGGGTGTATATACCTTAGTTTTTAGTTAATCTTTGTAAGTTTCAATATTAGGGTATATCAAAATTGTCAAATTAAATTCTTTTCACTTATAAGAACTGAAATTTTTAGTAAACATTAGGTACCAATATAAAATTTGTGATTGCCAAAATTTATTTCTATAAGAATTTAAAATAATTACTTTGTAAAAGGGGTAAATGCAATATTTTTTAGTGCCAGAGTCTTAAATAGAATGCATTCGTTTATGATAAATTTGATTATTCAAGATTTGACGCTTATTTTCCATATAAAAATTTGAATCCATCTATCGGAGTAAATATGTGTAATTACTTTTATTAATTATGTTTCTTCATATTTTAAACACCTTTCATATAACTGCGTTCCAAATACACGTATATTCGTATTTTAACAGATTTTCATGTAAACAGCTTTCCAGGCGGACATTTCTGCCCAAAAATGGTTCTGTATTAAAATCTTTAAGGAATATGAAAATAAAATGCTACATTAAATTTGGTAAATAATTGATCTGATAATTAATTGCGCCTTTCTCAAAAATTTCGCTTCACTTCATTCATGAACAAAATTTCGTCTTGAAAATATTGTGATCTAGCCCGAAATTATTTAACATCTAGCGTTAAATTTTTAATACTTTATGCAAAGATTAAATTTGTGCAGAAATAAAGATAAGAAAATTCTTTTTTAAAATTCTTTCACCCTTTCCTTTTTTTTTTATTTTTCAAATTAGAATATTTCAGTTTTTAAAGTAGCATTTATCTATATGTCGGAAAATATATAATTTTGTCCTATATATCCACATTTACCCATATACACTTATATATATTATTCTATACATACTTACTATAGGATATTAAAAATAAGGAAAGAAAAAAAAAATTCAATATAAGGAAATTACCATTAAATGACACCATCTACATGTTAATCCTTGATAAGCTTTAATTCTTTTCCGACATTTTGAACAACGTCCATAACAATTTCCATCTACCCAATGATGTAATTGAGTTCCACCACCTTTTGCTTTTTTAGTTTTAACATAAGTTGTTATACAAGATGCTGGAGCATGTTGAACACACCTTTCATGTACAGTATATTTACATACTTGAATGAAAAATAAATAAAAAAAAAACCATTAAATAGAGAAGGGAAATTAAAAATAAGGATTTTTTTTTTAATTTTTTTTTTTTCATTACATATCGGGTACATCATATTATTACTTATTAAATTGCTTCCTGAATAAAAATATTATATATGTACAGTTTTTTTTTTAAATTATTAAATTATAGAGCATATACATACTTTTGAGAAATAAAAAGAGAAATGGAAAATTCAAAATGTACTCGTTGGGAAACGGATAAAAAAAATTAATGGAATATTTAAAATAAATTTAATATTAGAATGTTATGTAAAATAATTAGAAATTTAATATTCAATTAAAATAACCGAATAAAATTACAGTTCTGACTTAACTATAAAAAAAGATTTTTTATGTTAACTGCTTTAACACAGAATTAAAAAGCGAAATTCAATTCATTTATGCAAAATAAGAAAAAATTGTAAATTTCTAATGCAATCTCTGACATTATTTGAACATAAGTACTAGGGAAAAGCAACTTCATTTCCAAATAAATTGAATAAATTAAATAACATACAACAATTTAATATGTAATTTTACTATTTGCCCTAAAATCATAATTAATTTATGATAGCTTAAAAAAAAACTAAACGAAACAGAACTAATGTCACTGCATATCAGTCAAATTACACTCTTTGTGACGTATAGATGACATTTTATTGCCAAATACGTTTTCGTTAACAAAAAATAAGCATTACGTTTTAAAATACATTAACAATAAACACAAGACTCAATAAAAATTGATGTTAAAAATAAATTCTGACATTCTCTGTCAAATAACTCTCTTCATTTGTCATATTACATACTTCTATTGTCACTACTATCATAATACCCCCCCAATGGATTTGTCATTAGAAAAAAAATATCTATATTTGTATTTTTTAAAAAAGCAAGTGCAATAAATGGAATGACATTAATTATTGACATTGAGAGGACATTGCCACCTTCATTGATATTTTATTTCTATATTGTCATAATAATATTGTTTAATTTTTATATTTCGCCCAAATGTATGCAAGTTTTTTTCATATAATTATATTAATGAGCTAATTATAGTTAATATTTCTGATTATATAATAAATCTCATTAAAATGATTAATTTTAATATTCAATACCAATACATATAAAATAAAATATGGTATATAGATATTTATAAAAACATTTTTTTTTTTTTAAATTAAGAAAATAATCTCATTAGGTAAAAAGAAAATCATTATTTTATATGCAAATATCTATATAATAAATTTTACTAAGAAAAAGGTTCGTTTCCTTGAAAAATTCTGTATTTTTATGTACTAGTATATTGAAATTTAAAAAAAATGAAGGAAATGTATTACATTTTGTAGTATGTTATCTATCAAAAAAAAAAAAAAGAAAAATATCAAATAATAACTACAATAATAATTGAAAATTTATACTAGAATAACAAATAATTGCACATGTTAGCTATGTGTGTTTAACATAATATTATTTAGTTGGATTGAAAAATACATTTGTATAACATATTCTATTACAAGGACAACAGTATATATATATATATATATATTCAAGTATGAAATATGATATACAAGAATGTGTATGTAGATATACTTGCATTCGAATTACATGAAAATATATCGCGCCGTCATAATATTCTTCAAAAAATTTTCTATATATACATATACGTTTCTATTCACTCCAGGAATGTTTTCATATAGAATTCCATAATATAGAAAGAATGATGAAGAAAAGAATTCATGTACACACAAAATATATTTTCTTATACTTTATTTATTTTTAAATATTTATATTTTTATATCTATATTGGCACATTTGTACACACAGATCCTATTTCAATAGTAATGTTATCAATATTTTTTTTTCATTCTCAAGGATATTATATATAAATAAGAATATTATATGATTGTATTGAAACTAGACAAGGAAATATGTTTTACAATTTTTTTTTTTCAATTTCTTTGAAAATTCTTCATTATTTTAAATATATGCATACATACATATATATATACACTTATGCATATATTTAGATTGCTAGTTATAAAAGTTTCTTATTTATATTTGTGAAAAGTTTTGATCGTAAGATAATTTTTAAATTATTTAAAATTTTCTTCTTTTTTTTCATATTATAGAAAGGAAAATTCAATTTAAAATATCTTGAAATATAAAATTTTATATGTAAACTTCATAAATTTTGTATGTTTTAAAGCCTTCATGTTGGGATGCTTTAACGAAATTGAGAAGTCTTTCTCAAGGACTGTCATCAAATTTACGAGAATTTCTGAAAATATTTGCAAGCAGAGCAGAATGAATGAATTCAAATAAAATTTCGTGGATGCTTAAATATATGCCATTATTCAAAATAAATTCCTTTTAGAGGACTGTAAACGACTACAAAAACAAAAGACAGGAAAAAGTCCAAAAAAAAAAAAAAGAAATCCAGGAATATTTTTTATTTTTCAATCCGTCAAATAAAATATTTTATTTTTATTTGGTGATCCTTTAAACTTTTCGTAATCGATCAAATTGTTCAATTTATCCAAAATGGCTTAAAATAAATAAAAACCCATAGATTACAATAATAAAAATTTGAACCCTTTAACAATTATGTTTTTCTTAATACATATACTTGTACATATTTGTATGTATGTATATAGTGTGGTAACTATATGGATAAACATATTTAAAATAATTTGTCATAACAAGTAATTTTGATCCTTAACCATCAATTTTCTATAATTGATACATCGATTTCTTCCTTCTTTTTTTTTTGTTTTATCCTTTTTGTATTTTTGCATTTTTGTTCTTTTATTTTAAAGACATTGATAAATTTATATCTTTTGGATATTTAATATAAAAATTCCAATGATTTCCTATTCATATATACATATATGTACATATATACATACTATTGTATATATGTATTAGTAAGGATATAAGCTTATTATATGGATTTCATTACAGTTTTAATATATAAGATGTAAATAAATCTCCTTTAGGCTAGGTCAATAAAAAGTCAAAGGAAAAGGAAAAAATTCTTATGCAATTATTTTACATATACGTCTATACAAATATATACTCGTATGTATACATTCTTTATGTATATTTCCGTATTTAGGCATGAAAATCATTTATTTTACAATAAATGTGATGTGTTTTATAGCCCCTTAGTGTATAACTATATATATGTAATCTAAATTTTACACGTTTCTAATTTTGACAAAGTAAAATAAAAACAATATGAAAGAAAAAGAACTTTTCATTCGTGATCCTTCAGAGATTTTAAGTGATAGAATTTTTTTTTTTTTTTTGGTTTATTGGAAGTATTCAGTAAAAGCATAATAAGATATAAAAATTACGTGCTTTTATTGGAAAAATATTTTCATTCTGAAAACTTCTAAAAATATTGTAAACGTTTATTAATAATTGTGAAAGACAAGGAATGCCATATTATAAGCAATAAATTCAATATTTGGACTGAATACTTCAGCTAAAAATCATCTAAAAATCACTAATAATAATAGCCAAATGCTGTGGCAGACTCTTCATTAGAATTAATGAAAATTAAAGCTGATTAACAGTAGCAGTTTCTATAATTGAGATTATTTCAAAAGCTACATACGAGGACTTTAATTATATAAGAAACGACCTAAAAATATAATGATTTCCCGGAACACTGTGCATGCATGTATAACCAAAAAACAAAGAATTTAATGGTTTATTTTTATTATGCCTTTTTCATTTTCTTTTCATTATGTATAAATTCTCTTTAGAATCATAAAATAAAAAGCAGAAATATAATCTCATAAAATTTTCTTTTCTATTTGATCGGATTGTGAACCATTTACATATACACTTATAGATTTTTAGCTATTTGATTTTAGTACATTTGTCAAATAATTAGGACAAAAAAAATGTACTCATTTGGTTTATTCTATTTTGTTAGTTCGACTCTAACTCTGTCGGCACATTGATTACGAAACTTCATACATATCTAATTTTAGGTTGAAGTCAATTTTTAGATGTAAGCTTGAAACATGAAACTTTTGAAAATAACAGTGCTCTCTTTCAAGTTTCAATTCTGCAAAATGAAATAGATTATTGTGACTAAACAGCAATTACTTGTATAGAATTTCAAATAAGCGAAAAGATTGTGTGTAAGAATTTAAGTACGAATTCATAGTAGCATCAACGAGCATTTTTTATAAATTTCTGACCTAAATTGTTTAAAAGACGAAAAGGTGAACAAAGATCTCGTAAATTATCTAAGTGAAATGTGCCACTTTGCAAATACGATAATTGGTTTGATCAGAATTTATTTTTCATATACATACATTTCTTTTTCCAAATACATGATGGAAAATATCAAAATTAATTTTATGTTTCTTGTTATACTAAGTATAACTTAAGGATGTTTTACATTTTACGCAGCAAAAATTAATTAATTTCCTTAAAGAATTCCAAAAATTTTAACCCAATTTTCGTTTTCTCCATATTTTGTTATTCATACAAAATTAATTTAATTTTTTTAACAATATATTATAATTTTATATTAATTTTTTTATATTTATAAGAATTTGGATATTTTAATCTTTTTTTTTTAATTAAAATTTTTGGTAAAACGTGAAAAGAGCTATGATTTTTTCAAAATTAAATTTTCGTATCAAACTTGTATTATGTGTTCAAAATTGATATCAAACATGTTGCAAGTAAAATCTCATATATTTTAATTTTGAAATGAGTTAATTAAATGTCATTTTAATGTCATTGCCAAAATACAGTGAAAACGCAAATAATATAATTTAAAAGTAAGATTTTTAAATTAAAATCTAAGCGAATTTGCACTTTTTTTTTCATTTTGTTATACAGGAATATAAAGCAATAAATGCATAAGTAAAGTCGTACTTAATTATTAATTAAAATTTTCAAATTTTAATATTAAATTGGAAAAGGATTTTCTCGCACTCAA